CGTGCCCTTGGCGCTCGGCGCAGCCCGCGAGGTTCCCTGCCCGGGACGGCTCCCGCCATGGCGAGGAGAATCCTGGAGAAAAAGCCGCGTTATGTCCCGGTTACCCGCCTGCCTGTCATCTCCGAGGGCGAGGAACGTCACAGAAACGCCGTCCTCAGTATTAAGAACCGGGGAAAACGCTACACTTTGAATAATTTCATCTCCATTTAGATACCACAGGGACAGCTCACGCCCCTCCAGAAAGGAGAAGGGAAACAGTCTGGCTTTACCGGCAACTGTAATCTCACCTGGGGTCAGAAAAGGTGAAAATGGAAGAAAAAGTGGTGAAGAGGTGAAAATCTAAGTGGAGGGGTTTTGTGGAGCAGGAGTTATGGGTCTTCAGCTGCTGCAACCACATCTTTTGCCTTAGCGCGTTGGACTTTCAAAGTGATCCTCAGCTCTGCGTTTCCTACGTACATAGACATGGTTTTGCAGTTTGCTTGCCATGTTACTGGTTTGGGTTGGTTTTTTTTTTCTTTTAATCCTTCAGTTCCTTTTATGTAGTGTTGGTCTCACCTCTGCCCTCAGTCAGATTTTTACCCCCAAACGTTTTCTTTTATGTAAGTGCTGACAGTACCAAGTGTCTTTTCAAGCCACAAAAAGCCACTAAATTGAACCTACCCTTCCGCACACACACTACATCCACCCCTTGATACATTTTCGGTCCAAGCACAATTCCGCATCATCCTGCCTTTTCCCACACTGGCCATGACAGGTATGACCAGTGGATCACTGGGACTAGTTATAGCAAGTTCCCTTGTCCAGCTGCCTGAGCAGAGACGCAGCTGGAGAGTGTTTGTGCAGAGTCTGAACAGGGGAGTCAGTAAATCCTCAAGGGCGCTTCAGGATTGCGGGGATGGTTGGCATAAACAACTCCAGGACCTCATATTCCACCAGCTACAGCCAGAAAAGGGGACGGATAAGGTTGCTGAACTCCATCCTGCTTCTTTAGAGGAAGGGCTGCCGTTCGCCTGGGCGGTAGGGTTGTGCTCCTCCTCTGCGGGGGGTCTGCAGCTGCCGGACTCTAGGAGACGCTGTACGTTGAGCTGGTGCTTTAGGGGGTGACTAAGGTGACACACCAGTGAAGGGCAGAGAGGAGTGCATGTTGAGGCTGCAGATCTTTGGGCCTCTGTCCAAAGAGGTGAAGCAAAGAAATTTAAATGGTGCCTGTCTTGACTCTACTGGGCCCCCTCTGGCTTTCTTACTTCTCCTGGTTCAGGTAACTCAGGAGTGCTTCTTTCAGAGCACTCTTACCTGTCTTTCTTCCAAAGCCCTGTAAAATGTTCACATTGCCTCTGTCCTGAAGGGGCAGGGGGGCTGTTAAGAAGAGCGTAAGGCTGTGTGAGGTTATGGCATGACAGCCTGCCTTCTTCTAGACATTTAAATCTGGTACGGTTTAACTCTTTGACATACCAAACTGGAGAGAACGTCAAAGTGCACATAGAGATTAGAGAATTTTATAATAATGTCCTTCAGCACAAGAGGTTCACCAAGTTTTAATCTTCTGCTGAGAGCCACCCTACACCGAGTAGATTGGGCTTGGTACAGGGGAAAGCTTGGAGGAAGCTGGGAAAGAATTGGACTCCTGCTCCAGGCCATGAAGATTTGGCATTCTTACTGGTAGGAGTAAGGCACATAGGAGGCCAGCAAGAGGTTTGTAATAATGTTAAGGGAGATGCTGTTTGCATTTAATACCTTTACAAATGCCCTCTGTAATGTGTTCCAGTATGTCCTCGTCGTTCTGTGTGTGGACCTGTGGTGGACTACGCTATGCAGGAGGAGGTGAGGCGGTTCGAAATTCCCTCGTACCCTGCCAGGGCCAAGGCAGCTCCAGGACTTGCCCTTTTGACGTTTCCCTCTCCGAAACCAAGAGGTTTACACCCAGGGTCCTGTGCAGGGGCTTGTGCCACGTTTCCCCTCGTAGCCAGCTCCCACGCCTGATGTCGGCAGCTCCGCAGCGCGGGCTCGGCTGAAGTTCCCTGGCTTGTTCCTTGGGTCTCGTGCTGATCAAAAGTGGGGGGGTGGCGGTGTGAGGAGACCACCCAGAGAACACCGGCGGCCGACAGATAAAACCCTGCTTTCTCACACAGCCGCACGACCACCATCGTCTCTGCTGGCCTCGGTGGTGGGAGGGAGGGAGGGAGGGAACCCTGAGAGGGCAACAGAGCTGGTTTGCACCCTCCGTGCAACCCCCCGTGCTGTGCTCTGGTAGGAACCAGCCTCCTGAACGTCCCCCTGCCTCGGTGATCGGCAGCGGGACCCTTGGTGCGGGCAGGAGGAAATGCCTGTCAGAATCGTCATTGCTGTCCTGAGTAGCTGTTGTTCTGTATCATGTTTTGGAGCTGGTTACAACGTATTTCAAGATGTTCACAGTTAATTTCCTATGCATTTGAAAGAAAAAACCGGGGGGTTTCCATGCTTTATGGAGAAGGAAATTTATGCATTATTCCCTGTGTGGGCGTGTGACAGAACGCACACGGGCGCGATGCCAGGGATCCGTATCTGATGCAGAGCACTAGCTGCCTCAAAGGTGACTTCAGGGAAAGGTCATTCTGTAGTTTGTTCACTGTGATCACTAATCAAGTGCAATTTCTGGAGAGCTTTTAGCGTGGTGGACATTGTTTTGCTGAGATTCACCTGGTGGATTTGCTGCAGGCATCCTCTTGATCCTGACAGTGGCAGAAATCCGAATTGTTGAGGGTATTTTCAGCTATTCCCTAATGAGTTCCTCTTTCTTTGTAGCACTTTAATGAGCTCCAGGTTGTAGTTACCTCCCCCTTCTTTCTCTCCTGATGCTTCTAATTTCAGATAAATATTTGAGATTAGAAGTGGCTCTGGGTATGAAATGTGACCCTTAACCTCCATGCAACTTTCTGATTATGACATGCCATTAAAAACGAGATTCATCTCTCTAATCCTGCAACTTGGAAATGTTCAGCTCAAATTACATCGGTGTCTTTTTAAACAGGAGTAACATTTTTTTAAGGGATGTGTCACTTCCAAATGCAAAATAGGAAACAGCTGCCTGCTTCAGACATTAAATAGGAGCTACCCCCTGTCCAGAAACAAGACCAGTTTTTTTGGGCTCCATGAAACCCAAAGTGTATCCCTTAAAATTGAACGGCTGCTCCAGCTCAGCAGCTGAATAATCACTGGTGTTAGGGTAGCCATTTCCTACCTTCTGTGAAAATATTAATTAGTGGAAGGTCGGGATATCTTTGTTCTGTGTTAGATAGTTGCAGAGCTTTGGATCTCTATTTTAAAGACCAACCTGCACATGGTAGATACTTATTGCACCCTTGTAGGCAAAAGTGTGAAAACCTTCAGAACAGTATTGCCTCCACATATTTTACAGCAAAAAGTGATTAAAATGTAGGGAATTATAAGAAATATGTTTCTGGACTTGTGACTGTTTCAGAGAATGATTACTGATTGTTTCTTAATAAGGGCTGGGGAACACCTAGGGAGAAGTTCTAAACCAAACAAAATTAAGTACTTCTGTCAAACAACACAACCCCGTGATCCAGGGGATGCCAAAAGCTCAGATGGGCTCAAATCATGGCTGGGCAAATTCGCGTAAGAAAAATCCATCGTATATGAGTAGGTGTAAAGACACAACCTCTGACTCGGGAAGTTTAGAAGATGCAGGTTGCTGCAAACTGGAATTTGATACCTGGGAAAAATATGATTGCAGCGTCTCCCGCCTGCTGCTGTTCCCAGCCGCCGTCAGAGGTTGCGTTCTGACTGCCTTGGTGCGAGGCGGTGCAGCCATTCTTATTAAGAAGCTCTTCCAAGATGGGGGCCTCTCTTCTCGGAAGGAGCGTCCCTGAGAGGACAGTATCTCCTGACCTCCTTACCAATGCTGAATTCCAGAGCACGAACAAAGTTCTTTGCTACGTAAGCCGAGAACTGACAAGTAGAAGGAGGATGGTGGCGATACCTCCATATAGAGCTACCATGATTATGTTCAGAAAGTTCCATAGCTGCTTAGCTAAAATGGTAAAAAAAAAGAAAAAAAACCCAAACAAAAAAAGTGCAGTTAGACAATTTACAGAGTATTGACATCTGATTGAAAGTCATTCAGCTGATGTGGACTGACAAGTTACTGATCAGCTGCTCTGTGGTAACTGGCCACATGTATCCCCTTTGTCCATCCCAGCTCTGGAAGTAAAATACATCGACTTAAACCACTTTAATGTGTTCAGGAATTACAGACATGGGCTGGGATGCCAACGTCCCCAGCGCTGTGGCTGGATAAGTGATATGACATGATACTTCCCAATGGAATGGTAAGAACAAATCTAAAGACCTTTTTAAGTGCTGTTTTTAAGCAAGGCAGTATACACCAGGACATCCTTTAGTAGATCTCACTGAGGAGTTACGGCGTCGGGTGGACTTCGGAATCCACATGCATAAGGAAGGGGCTGTCTCTCCATCATTAAAATTCCCGTCCTCTTTCTCCCTTCTCTCACACTGCTGATATGGTAAAAATGAGCAAGTGTTATCTTTTACAAAAGTGTCTTTCCTTAAAAGGACCTTTTTTCTTTAGAAGCCAAGCAAAGCAGACATTTTTGTGGGCGCTGGGGGTGGTGGTGGGGACTTAAGTTTAACATATATGATAAATATAGAAGAAGTCGAGAAAGTATTTGGCATGCGGTAACAACTTAGGCTAAATAAATTCCAGCGGTTACCCAAACTAGAAGTTTTTTTGTGATAGCAAACAAAACGGACTGTAGTTGAATCTCTGAGAGAGCCTTCGATGCTGAAAGGGCGGCGCTGAGAGCGGAGGGGAAGCTCCGGAGTGAAAAATAATCTCAGAGAAATTTTGTGCCGTAAAACGCGAGATAATCGCGGTCGCGCAGCTGCCGCCGAAGGGCCGAGTCTGCAGCGCTAATCGGGAGACGCCCGTCCACATTTTCCCTTTTCTTGGCCAGAAGGGATCGCTTTTGAAGGCGGTGGGGTGCTGTGATCTGTCTTACCACCGGTGTCCCGGCTGCGACACTGCCGAGACACTCCTCAAGGGCGCGCAGGTGCCTCCTGAGGGACGAGCCGCTCCCATCGC